CTGAACTTTACTCACCACGTATTTCTCCTTCCCGGATCACTGTGAACTTGAGGATCTTACCTGCTGTAGATTCTGGAGTTGCTGTCTTAGGAGACAACTAAATTACCGTTAAATTAGTCATTATGATTACGACTAATGGCACTGTAGTAGTGTGACTTTCCTTCCTTTGCAGGAAGAATATGCCCATTTTGTGAAGAAATATGTTGATTAAAGTTCTTAAAACATGTTCCTCTACCTCTCTTTATTTTATGTTCCTTAAACAGGACGTTCATTTAACTTGAGGTGTATATTTCTGGAAGTTTCCAGAACACCCAGAGTCTGATCAGTAAGGTATTTGAAGGTGGCTGGTCCTGTATTCTTCAAAGCATTATGCTGGATTCCCATTGGATGGTCCTGAGTAGGAAGGGCAGTCCTAGTTTTAGCCTTGAGAATGAGCCCAAGACACCATGTGGAGATGGACCTTCCCACCCTTCAGTCAGAAGGGAGCATCCAGCTGAAAAAGCCTCAAGCATTGTCTTGCTTCCTGCTCCATCTATGCAGGTCTAAATGTAGAAGGAAAGTTTAAAACATGCAGAAGAAAGCATGGAATGAAGCATTCATGACCTTGGGTAATAGTTCTTACACAGTTTTAAAATACACTAGCCGTAAATGAAAATTCACCAGGAATAAGTCCAGGACTGTTCCTGGGAAATCCCATTATGGACATAATCATGGTTTAGACTTTAATGAGACTGATGATTATTAGTCTTCTCGTCCTGTTGTGACAAAGTGCCATATGCTGAGTGGCTTAAACAACAGTAGTGTATTGGGGCCAGCTTTGTTGGGTTCTGGGGACAACTCTGTTTTGTAGATGGCCACATTCCTACTGTGTTCTAACAAGCAAGGAGTGAAGGGGAGCAGAGAAGGGGAGGGAAGAGGAAAGAGGGGGGACTTTTTTTGTATCATGTAGTTATAGTTGGCCTAAAACTTGCTAGGTGGACTTGGCTGCCTCAAACATGCCTCTGATTCCTGAGTATTGAGATTGCAGTCACAGTCTTATGAGATTAGGCACCTAGCCCTGTGACCTCCTTAACCTTAACTCCTCTATAAAACTCTGTCTTTCATGGATACCTGGGACTTTGGTACATTGACATATTAATTTGGGAGGGATGCAATTCAGTCCATACAGATGGCTGTGCATTTTATAGTAATATGTGTCATCCTGTACCTTGGTACTTGCACTGTTATGCCTCCAGTATTCTGTTTTAGGGAATGACTGTCTGTACAACTGTTTTCTTGCCCCAATAAAAACAAGTTCTCCCAAGTCCATTTGTATTGTAATTTTGTTATAGTTTGTTTGTATTTTCTGTGCTATATTGTTTACATTCTTATCGCAGAGGCTGCCACATGATGGGACCCATTCTCAATGGATGTTGGACATGGGGGAAGTGATTCTATTGTTTCATGATTGAGTTTTATCTGTGAATGGGATGTCTGAATTCTGTCTCAGGAATATACGCTAGAGAAGTGCGAGCAGGACTTGATGAGTACTGGATGGGTCTATGTCTTGATCTTGGTGGTATTACAATGTGCTCATTTTCCTCTATATAATTCTTCAGGCTGAATACCTGTCCTTTGCATACCTACATACCTTATGCATTAATAAAACATGTGCCATGTGTATTCCACACATATAATATATAAGTCTAGTTTAGTAAGACATTATGTTGGTGTGAGTTTGTGGAAATAGTTATACTTACACATTATGTACCAAAGTACAATTTTCTTTGGCCAAATTATTAAAACTGAAAGCATTTACCTTGGCTGAGCAAGGGCTCACCTAGAAATGAACCCTGCAGTCTATGATAACATGAGCAAATGGTCCCACATTCAAGGTCATTCACTGCAATGCTGTTTATCATGATACAATGGAAAACAATAGAAAAAAAGAACAAATAAATCAGACATCACATGATAGAAGATTATTCAGATGTTAGTGAGGAGGCAGCAGATCTGCTGACTTGGAAGGGTCTGTGGATTAATAAATATGCAGAAGGTGCTCTTGTGTGAGAAAAGCCCAAGCATGTGTGATTTTCTTGGTGCTTGTAGGTCTCTGTAGAAAGCCACCGGAAACACCTACCTGGTGGCTTTCCAGGGAGGAAAGGTAAAATGACACTTTGTTGCTGTCCAATCTATTTAATAAACATTGCAAATTTTATTTCATTTAAGTCAATGACACCAACATTGACACGACTTTTTCCCTTCTGGGCTTCTCTTGTCTTCATTTAGGGTGTTACCAAACACTCCACAATTGAAAGTTTCCCTTTATTTTCTTCACATCTATCCATGGAGCAGAAGCCAGACTCTTCTTCTAACGACATTGAGCAAAGTAGGTAAGGCCATTTGCCTCCTGGCGACATCATTAATTGAGTTTAAATCACCAGAGAATTTGAACACATTTTTTAAAAACAAAACATTCCAAGTAATTTTTGCCATTGTTGGTTCCATCCCCACCCCGTCTCCCCCGGAGGCAGGAAGAGGGTGAATGTCAAGTGTCTCATTTGTCTTTACCTGGATTTACAAGATCCATGAGCTGGTTGTCAGACTGCAAGGAGAGGGAGCCTTGAGGGAAGGTGATTTTAATTGCAAAGGAGAGGAGTGGGTTCCTTCTAAAGCTCCCTTTATATCTGTGACAGTCCCCATGAAGAAAGTTTCATGTCTGTGGCCCCGGGACCCAGAGTATGCAGAGGCCCTCAGAAATCAAGTATGACTCGAAGGTGAGGCCTGTAAAAAACAAACAAGGGTAACCTTTGAAGAAAGAAACCTGCTTCCTCCATCAGCTGTGGCTGTCTAGAGCAGGTAGAGACTACATGGCCAGGGAGAGACATCAGCTCCTATCTGGCAGAGCCCTCGGTATGCTAAAAACCCATGTTTGCAAAATTAACAATAGGCAATTTATATAACGGGGTTTTAAAAAGGCACAATGTGGAGGGAGGGGAGCAGTGGGGGCTGGGATTCCATGGTCCTGCTGCATCAGCTAACACAAAGTTGAAGGTAGAACTAGGGGTGTAGGAGAAATGGGGGTGGCACGCCGTGCCAAGAAAGCTGGAAGCAGATTCCAGGGTGGCATGGAGGTGGGGCAGATGACCCCTAGTGGCCTCAGTGATCCTCATGATCTACTGTCATTATCCCAGCAGCACCTGGGGAGGCTAAAGAAGGCAGATTCTCATTTCAAGGCTGTGGTGGTCTATGCAGTGAGTTCCAGGTGCACCTGGACCACATGGTGAAGATCTGCCTGGACAAGTCAAACAAAACAAATTGCAAACAACAACAACAACCACAACCCCTCTGAAAATTGAGTTATGGCCACCATCCATTCATTTGGGGGACATACACTCCAAGCAGAGCCTGGGGAGAAACTCCCAAGTCTCCTGTTGGGTCTGTCCTCCACCTGATCCCCCTTGAGAGCCTGGCTCTGCGCTGGAGGCAGAAGCTCTAGATTAGTCTTAGTTCTGCACTTGCCAGGAGGGGACATGCACGAATTTGGGCACGTTACTCAGCCTTTTCCTGCTTCAGTCTCCTTAGCTGTGAAATGGGGATAATGCTAAGAGCCACGCCTTCTTGGTATAGTTGCTATGGGGACTAAAAAGCACTTCAAAGAGAGCCCTGTACCCAGATTACACACATATAATACATGCACATCATACGTTCTAACATTAAGATGTTAGTCTTAATATTCATGATTATTATTTCAAATTTATGCACCGAGGAGTCATGTTAAGCAAGAAGGAAAGGGCACTGGCTTGGTCCTGGATATCCCAAGAACTCCGATGTCAAATGTCACTACTGATAGGAGGCGATACAGAAAGATTCAAATGGGGGTGGCACTCCATGCCCAGAAAGCTGAAAGCAGATTCCAGCGTGGCACAGACGCGGGGGAGAAGACCTATAGCGGCCTCAATGATCTTAATGGTCTACTGTAGTGGCAGAAAGTATCTCTTCAGAGTCACCTTGCTTAGTTTGCCTGCCAGGCTTCACCTCAGAAGTGTAGTTCAGTCTGGACATTCCCACACTAATTCAGTGTAAAATGAGAAGCTCCTATGTCCCGACTTAGAGGTCCAGATATTCTAGTAGAGGTGGGCTTTGAGCTTATTTATGGGACTATTGCACACCTGAAAAATGTCAAAAGGTAAGGAAATATATTTTCACCCTGCTAACAGGATTAGGTACATCTGGGGGTCAAGAGCAGAAATCAGGGGGCGGGGACTCAGTCAACACTCTGGCTCTCCTACAGGAAGGTTAACAAGAAGTGGCAGGATGCTGCTCTCCCAGGTGGGGCGTGGCGATCACCCGCAGACCTCAGTCAGTGACGGCAGTATCCATCTGTGGGGCGCTTCCGAGGGCCTTTGATCTTTCCCCGGGATCTGGCGAGGGCTTCTTTTCCTTTTTAGTGCATTCCTCTTAGTTTATTTATTCTATCTGCTTTCAGGAAGGCCCAGAGGTCAGAACCAGTTTGCGCTGGAGTTGGCACCCTTTTGGGACAGTACTGGAAACTCCAACCAGCCACGCACTTCTGGGGGGGAGGAGAAAGGTCTATCCTCAGCTGGGGAGCTACGTGCTGGCCCCCTCCTTGTTCCTATTCTCCAATCCCAGCCTGACCTGCAAATGCTCCCTTTACAGAGGATCTTCCCTGTCAGAAACCAGCGGGGAGTTAGTTGCAGGATTACCTGGAAGTTTGATCTCCTTCCCTGAAGGGTCCAAAGTTGCCATCCACCACCATGAGGGGACCTGTTCCCCAGGCACCAGTCCCTAATCTCCATTTAGCCTTTGCGTCTGAGTGGCCTAGCCTCAGCTCTCCATCTGTGCGCCTTAAATCCCATTTATCTTCTTAGCACCCCAGACTTGGTCCGCCCTGCCCCCCCTCGTCCCCACTTGCAAATTACAGCCCCTCCCTTGCGCTTCCTCTGGAGCTCCAGACAAAGTAGAGTAACCTTTGAGTTGTTAGGAAAAGTGATTTAAACTGGGTGCAAGAGACACAGAGGGGTGTGGGGGAAGAAGGGTCCAGCCAGCGGAACCGAGGCACCCCAAGAGTTCAGGGTCAGGACCCAGCCGAGGACCCTGAGCCCTCAGTCTGAGTCAACGAACTCCCGCGGAATGTCGAAGTCGGTCCCACCCAGGCCCCCAATCTAGGTCACCCACGGGGAAGGGCTGAGCTGGGGGCTGTCTGCTCCGGAGGTGGGCGAGGAGTGAATTGATTCAGACCCTGCCCCTCGCTCTTCCACGAGATTGTAATTCCATCTCTGGCGGGTCGAGCCGCCCTCCCTCCGGCGGCCAGTGCGTCCCTCCCCTCGGCCTCCAGCGTCCACTCCCCAGCCCCGAAAAGCCCTGCAGCCGAGAGAGCCCGCTTCACTCCAGCACGCCAGGCTCCCAGCTGCTGCCTTGCCTCCTCGGACTCCCGAGGGGCTCCTGATTCAGCTCCCTGGGCTCCCCGCCTTCTCATCCGCGCGCCACTGGCGTCCCCACGTCCCCCAGGAGACGCCCTTTCCCCGCGCGCCCGGGACTTGGTGAAACTTTGCAGACACCGTCGGTGAGATGGATTTAACCCCAACCTTCTTGCTCCGTTTCTTGCTCCTGGCCTGCAGCCTCCCGCTCAACGCCGTGTCACTCCGAACCGCTCTGCGAAAATCAGGTAAAGCTCTCAGTGCGCTCCGAGTCATGGTGCCCGAGCACCCTGGTCCTGGCCTTTGGTGGGGTACAAGAGCAGACAGCTCCACACTCCTCTCTCCGCTGACCAGCGTGGGCTTAGCTCGCGTAGGCTATGTTCAGTGCTCAGCCAAAGGGTGAGCCTCGCCCTCTCCTAGCTCAGGCGGTTCCAGGGAGATGGTTTTAAAAAAGAAACACACCAATCTGTTTTCCGGAGCTAGTAGAGGTGGTGGGCTCTGTATGGGACCACAGACTGCTAAAAGTTGGGGGCAGCGATCGCCCTGTCTCGGTTACTGAGGGCTGAGAGAGCGCAGAGGACTTCAGCAGCTCCTCCTGCTTCTTTGAACATCTTATTGGATTCATACTGCCTAGAGCCCAGCCATTTCCTGTTGAGTGTCTGAAGGTTTGCCTGGAGCTCCCCTTCCTGGCTCTGGTCCTGTCCAAGCACTGGGTAGGGACCTGTGCTTTCTGTTTTGGGGATACTCTTGCACCCTGGGGCCATTTGTGCAGAAAAGAGCTCTCAGTGGTTTAACCTGATCTTGTTTAGAACTCCTGCCTGTACTCTGCTGTTCAAACAATGTATAGGCTAGCAAATACAAAGGATCGGAGAGAATGTGAAGCTACAAAAACTAGCATTTCCTCTAGGTAAAAAAAAGTATGTTTTTTAAATCTACATTGATTTGGTTTGTGTCACGAGGGAAAGTAGAACATTCTAAACAATAAAGTTCCAAACATTGCTTCCGAATAACGATTTTTAGTCTTTGTTGGCCAGGACCATATTTAGAATTGTGAAAAAAAATCTGCTTTTTCTTAGCTTACTTTGCAAGTGGGGGTTGTCTTATGGGATTAATTATGTCCTCTGAACAATGGAAAACAATCTAACTATTTGGATCCAGCCTGCAAAACCTCACAGAAAGTGGAGTCCCCCTTCACAATGTTTCTACAAGAAAGAGGCAAACCAGGAAAAATTATCGGAGTGCAAAGAAAATAATCTTGGCAGGCTCCCATTGAGCTGCTTAAATATATCTATAGGAAGTAGTAGGACTGTTGCCTTTTATCCTAGGAGATATCTCAGTCTTCAGGCTGCGTCTGTGGTCACCTGTATCCCCTTACCTGACTTGAAATTTAGGAACATTCTCAGCGTCCGCACCACACTGGGACTGGGAACAAATCTCTCTGCACACTGTCCAGTTCATTTGGGAGGCAAGAGCAGCCACCCAAGGTAGTTTCACATTAAACTGTCTTCTCGAATCTTCATACACCTCCCAGCATTTCAATATGAGGCTCCTTTGAACTTCTTTCCTCCAGAAAACTACACTATGCTCACTCGCGTTCTGCAGGTTTCTGCACAAGAAACCATCTAGCTGCGTGTTTGAATAGCTCATGCATACATCCATGGCTCTTAGCCTGAGTGACATATGCAAGGATCCCTAAGGGTAAACTCCAAGCCATTTAAGCAGGGTGTAAAAATTATTGCACAAAGGCCCACTGTATAAGATTGCACACATGTTTTGCCCCATTTGCCCCTTTATTTCCTCAATTTCATCATTCCTCTCCTAAAATACGTTTTCTGCCTGGTTCCCTCAGATATTCATGTCACCAATGTATCATGTTGGCTTCTTTGGTTTTACTTGAAGTATGGATGGGGGTGATTTTGAAAAGCTTCCTTTTAAATGTTCTTGGCCCCACCAAGGTGGAAGGGATATTTAGACTAGCTCTAGCCTAGAAGAAGCTTTTTTTTTTTTAAATTACTTCATAATTTTATCCAGACAATGGCTTTCAGGTTGAAAAGCTGCTTGGGTGAAAATGACAACTGCTTCGTAAACTTCAGGGGAATTTTTCCTTGTGGGCTCATTTACATCCCATGGAAAGACTAGTTTTTGATCCGTAAAATTGGTCCAGATTAAAAACTGAATGTGCCCCAGTCGGCTCAGATGGGAACAGCAAGAGAGCTCATTTGTAATCTCCCCCAGATACCAGCAAATCCTGCTCCAATCCATATGGGAGTGACTTTGGACCTTGTTCCCCCCCCCCCCCCAATAGAAATTGGCTTGTGTGCAGCACTTGGGCGGTGGTGTGGCCATCCTGCAGGCATTCCAAAGCGGTCTGTTTTGTTTATCTATTCCCCTTTACTCTTTTGATAAGTACAGTTTAGTTGAGAAGTCTTGGATTCTAATTAACCTGAAGGCTGCCTCCCTTCTTTTAGAAAGAGATAAGTAGAAAAGAACACCTTGCCCCCTTACCCCAAGGAGTAGCACCTTCTGGCATTGAGCATTAGGAAAGAAAGCTCCACAGATGCCAAGACTCACAGGAGCTGCCACAGCAGTACTCCAATGAAGTCAAATTAAATAATAATAAGTGACACTAATTAAGTGCTGGTTACACTGTTCTGAGAACTGATTTCTGTAACCCAGCCAGCAGCTTGTTTCTTTGTTTCGCTGAGGGGGAAACTGTGGCTTAGAGAGTAACTCAATATCTATCTTACCGGAGGCCACACAGAAGCCAAGTGGTGGAATGGGAATTTAGGCTCCTCCGGTATTGGCACCAAATCTCAGCCCTTGGCTGTCTTGTTTGTAAAACTATGTATGTAGCCTTGGGTGTTTTCAAGGCTGAGTTCTCCAGGGACAGAGCCCTTCAACCTAGGTGGAGGGCCTGGCCTTGCTGTTTTGTGTAGGAGACCTGTGTCACCTATGGAACATGATGACATGGCCCTCAAGTAAAATAGACTACTAATGTGGGGTGCAGGAAGATACTATCCCCCGACCTATGTACATAAAGCATGTACATAGCCTTACAGAGGAATGAGCTGCTGCTTGCTTTCTTTTGTTAGACTTCTGGGCATTAATAACGTGGAGTCCAGAAGGTCACTGGAGTCCCTTGGGGTTAGGACAGTGAGAAGCTGGAGGGCCCTATGTCTACACCACCTTAACACACCACCCCCACAGGCCTCCAAGGTGTGCAAGCACAATGTGCTGGAAAGGCTTCACTCCTGTTCTGCTACAAATCGGAAGCAAGTGAAAACTCCTCGTTTGGCAATGGGACTGAGAGGGACTGAGTGATTTGTCGGAGTTGACACCAAAAGCTGAACTGAGTTAGTGTGAAGACCCCCAACACCTGAGACCTGTAGCCTCTTGCTTCTGCTTCTCCGCAGGAATTTTGGGGGAGGGGCAGGAGAGTCACACAACTGTGGGGACAAGCAGGGAAGAAACCACCCATAGCCCACAGGAAGACCTGTGATGCTGGCCTTCATTATAAAGATCCTTTCTAGGCAGCTCCATTGAGATAAAGACATTTAGAAAAATTCTTCCTTTTCAGGAATAGTGTGACAAGTTCCAACAAACATATTCAGTAATGAAACTCTGCACCGTTCAGCCTCAGCCAGCAATAACCACCTAAGGGGCCTGTATTCTCCCTCATCACCAAGGAGGCACCTGCCTATGAACTAGCTCCCCTCCTGCAGGCCTTTGTTTTGAAATATATGAATTATTTTCTTTACTCAAGAATATAATCTGTGCTCCTTAGTAAAAACAAAACAAAAGAAAAACAAAAACAAAAAACTACCCCTTTACAGTCCCTGGCAACTGATGATCCGATTTCTGTCCCTATAGTTTCGAGTCTTCCAGAACATCATGTTTTGTGTAGGCTTTCTCACATCCAGCACAACTTTTAAGGTCAATCCATTTGCAGTGGTACTTATCAGTGGTTTGTTCCTTGTTAGTGGTTAGTAGTAGTCTTTTGTACAGGTCTTAGATGGCCACACTTTAATTGTTCACCAGGGAATGACTTTTTAGGTCTTTTCAGCTTCAGGCTCTGGTGAACGAGGCTCCTGCATGCAGCCTTATATGTGTCTCTGGGTGGATACTCTTTCATTTCTCTTGGTAAGGAGCTGAATGAGATCCCTGCTCCCAGAAAACCCTGGCTTGTTTTTCAGAGTGATTTTGCTGTTTCACATTCCTAGGAGCAATGTATGGAAATTCCACTCATCCTGGATTCCCTACAGCAATTGGTACCTGTTCTACTTTTGTTTCTGTAGCTATGAGGAAAAAAAACCAACACAAAACCAAACCTGACAAAAAGAAAATTAGGGGAGGAAGGGTTTAGCTCAAAATTCCAGGTTGTCGTCCATCACGGGAAGTGACAGGACTTTGAAGCGGCCCAGCTGTGCCATGTGCAGTCAAGAGCAAAGAGAAATAAATACACGAGTGCTCGCTCACTCGCTCGCTCGCTCGCTTGCACTCAGTGATTTCTCTGCTCTTAGACAGTCATGATCCCCCTGACTAGAGAACGATGCCGCCCACAGTGGGCTGGGCTTTCCTACATCAACCCATTTAAGATAATTCCCACAGGCCAATTCAATGCTGACAATCCCTTGCTAATATTTTCTTCCCAGGTCATTCTAGGTTGTGTCAAATTGAAAATTGAAGCTAACAATCAATGCACAATTGTTTCTTTGCCGTGTCTCTGTTTTTGTTTTGTTTCAGGTATTCTTTTTTTGTTTTGTTTTGTTTTGGTTTTTGGTTTTTTTTCCAAACAGGTTTCTCTGTGTAGTTTTGGTGCCGGTCCTGGCTCTCACTCTATAGACCAGGCTGGCCTTGAACTCACAGAGATCCGCCTGCCTCTGCCTCCCAAGTGTGGGGATTAAAGGCGTGTGTCACCACCACCTGGACTTGTTTCAGGTATTCTAATAGATGAACAATGATAAATCTCACTATATTTTTAATTTTTGTTTCCTTCATGACTAACGATATTAAACACTTTTCATGAATCATTTGCCTCTCAAATTTCTTTGCATCTTTTGTCTTTTCTGAAAAAATTGAGATATTTGTTTTGTTACTGGATTTTTAAAGTATTCTTTGTACATTTTGAGTGCAGTCTTTTATGTAGTCCAGACATTTGTTTTGAAAGCACCAGCTTCCCAGGTGCAATTTGGTGGTTTTTATGCATGTGTGTGTGCCCAAGAGTGTGTGGGTGGATATGCATGTACAG